GGCTACAGGCAGGTCCCCAGAAATTCCCACCTGTAAGGTTTAAGGGTTGACCGCTCTCGACGAAGCTGTCCGTCATCTGGCCAAAGACCACACTCATGAGCGGCACAGCGACCCCATTGGCTGCGGCACAGAGTAGCCCCACAATCATTAAAATAATTTCCAAAGGTTTGGCAAAGCGGAACTGTGGCAAAGTAGGACATAAAACATATTATTCCACAGATTCTGGTTTTTTTTTTGTTTTTTTTTTTGGAAAAATCCATTTCACATAATTTCATGGAATATCACGGAATGGTTTGCTTACTAATTGGAAAAATCCAACCAGTTTCACTGGTTCCTTTGGTTCCTTTTTTTTTCTTCTAGATGAAGAAAGGAGAAGAACGTTACAAAGCAACGAAGGAAACAGGCCTCAGGCCTCTCCAGCTATACATATAGTATATGGGGACATGGCTAAGTGAAGGGAACAGCAGAATGAAGTGCCTGATGGGCCTCTGGGCTACCATGAGCTCACAGAATACCTCCATATGGACCCTAGTCTTTTTTGAGCATCACACATCCATGAGATATTCAATAATTTAATGTTTGGTGACTTAGTACTGCGTCGAATAATGAACAACTGCAAAATCTCTCACTTCAAATGGGCTACGATCCACTGACTAATTTTTGCCCCAACCTGAGACATCCTCACAATAGCACTTGTGAAGCTCTCAGACAACTCATTAACTGCAACCTATATTATAGACAATATAATTTATCCTGTTATTTTTGCATCATACTATTTAAACCTCTATGAGATCAGTTCTGATAACTTTGTTTTAACCAGTGACCTTAAGTTTTAAGGACAGCAGTCAGAATGAAACGCCCCATTATTCACACGATAGCCCTGATTTTACCTAAAATTAAACCTACAGTGTGAATAATTGACAGTTTTATTCTGACTTGTCCTCAAATTTCTCTTTTCATAAATGAAATCATTTTGGTCAGAGCATTTCCTTTTCTATTCAAACAAAGCAAACGGAGATTGTCAGGAATTGCTTTTTTCCGTGAAAACTGGCCGTCTCCGTTTACCTAAACAATCCTTTTTTATTTGACGCCTGAGTCGGCTCCTCCGGAGGTGGGGGGTCCTTCTCATCCTCTCTGGGATTCTCGTCTTCCAGGAAGGCGTCGTTGATATAGGAATTCGCGTACACCTCGTCCTTAGAAACTAAGGAATCGAAATGTTTTTCAATAATCACATACCTTTTCAATCACAGATCCCGACAACTTCAAAATAAATGATCCTGTCAACCCGTTAGAATATTAGATACATTTAACATTTTTAGATCATTGTGTATTATGTAAATTAAAAAAATACCTTCACCGGGCATTGTGTCTGGTAGAGCTTCTTCCTCCGTTATGCTGCTTTTTTATCCTTGTAATTAAACTCCTGAAATCGACTGACAGAGGAAACATATTTGTTCTTGGGGGGCGCACATAAACGGCAACCCTTACCTCTCTACGCTGCTTTGGATAAAAATCGTCAGAAAAGAAATATTCCTGGTGATATAACATCTAGAGGCGCTTTTCTGCGATTCAAACTAACTCCGTACCGGTCACTAAAACCGACAAAATACATCCGTAGCAAATCCGCTACAGTAGGTTTTTATTTTGAAATTTAGGTACTGAAAATCCTTGACATACTGACATTATACATATGGCGAGTGTAATGACAGTCGTATGGCATGTAGTGAAACAATCATTACTGTAAAACTAAAATAATCCGAATTCTAGGATCAACCCATGTAAAGCAGTCGGACCAGACAACATGGTCGTGCTCTGAAGGACTGTGCTGAGCAGTTCACGGATGTCCTTGCTGATACCTTTAACATCTCCCTGGACCAAGCTGTTGTTCCCACATGCTTTAAAGTCACAACTATAATTCCTGTCCCTAAGAAGCCCCTCCCATCCAGTTATAATGACTATCACCCATAGCACTCACTTCCACCATCATGAAGTGCTTTGAGCGGCTGGTCATGCAGAACATTAAGTCCATCCTTCCCCCCTCCCATGACCCGTTTCAGTTTGCATACAGGACAAACAGGTCCACAGAAGACGCCATTTCCATTGCTCTCCATCCAGCCCTCACCCACCTGGACTGAAAGAACTCCTACAGTACGTGCGAATGCTGTTCTTATATTTCAGTTCAGCGTTCAGTACAATCATTCCCCAGCAGCTAATACAGAAACTCTCTCTGTAACTGGGTGCTGGACTTTCTTACAGGGAGGCCACAAAATGTGCGGGTCAGCAATAACATCTCTAAGACCATCTCGCTGAGCACAGGGGCCCACAAGGGTGTCTGCTCAGCCCGTTGCTCTTTACCCTGCTGACCCACGATTGTGCACCAACCTACAGCTCCAACCACATTCTCAAGTTTGCGGGTGATACAACCGTGGTCGCCCTCATCACCAACAATGACGAAGGCAACTACAGGAAGGAGGGGAGCCAGCTACAGGAAGGAGGGTGGCCAACTACAGGAAGGAGGGGAGCCAACTACAGGAAGGAGGGGAGCCAACTACAGGAAGGAGGGGAGCCAACTACAGGAAGGAGGGG